GAGACTCCAACTCAAAAAAAAAAAAAAGAAACTAGTACCACATGTGGGTTTTCTTCTGGAAATTTTCTATCCGAAATTCCATCCCATTTCACAGGATGCTATCAAGCAACCAACTCAAGAGGAAACTGCAAGTTGACACCACTTCGCTCTGACCCAGAGACTAGGCCCTAGAGCCCTGGGAGAAGCCGAGTACAAGCATGCCCGCGGACACAGCCGGGGGACGAGCTTTAATCACAGAAAGGGCTGTGAGTCTCTGACTGTGAAACACTTGAGACCAGGCCAGACCCTCCCCTAGTTAAAGAACGTGCTTGTTTCCTTTGAAGTTGGACGAGGAGACTGGACGCCTGCCTCCCTCTAGCATCGCTCTCTCAACGACACCTGGGGCCACTGTGACCCGGTATGCCCTGCTTCACCAAGCCCCTGCCATGGCAGTCAGAAGAGGGCGGGCCCTGGGACAGACAGGCGCGGGATGACCCGCATAACCTGTCCTCTGGGCACCCGCTACACAAAGCACGCTCCAGAGCTCCCGTCCTGTGCACCTCCCCGACACCCACTCGCCTTCCCGAGATCCCCTACCCCTCTGAGATCCCTTCACCTCCCCAAGACCCCCTATGCTGTACACCTCCCCGAGATCCCCTCACCTTTCCCAAGACCCCGATACCACCGATACCCCCTCACCGGTCCCGAGACCCCCTTTCCCCCGAGACCTCCTACACAGTGCACCCTCCCGAAACCCCCTTGCCTCTCTGAGACCTCCGCGTCTATCCCAAGAACTCCTCACCTATTCTGAGACCTCTCGCCTCCCTGAGACCCCCCCCTTACCTACCCTGAGATTCCTCGCCTCCCCACCAAGACCCCCTACGTCATATACCTCCCCAAGAGTCCCTCACATCCCAAGACCCCTCACCTCCCTGAGACCCCCTAGCCTCTCCAGGGACTCCCCTTCCCCCCCAGGACCCCACCACCTCCCCAAGACCCTCACCTCCCCGAGACTCCCTCACGTCCCAAGGCCCCTCGCCTCCCCAGAAGCCCCTCGCCTCCCCAAGACCTCTCACCGCCCCGACACTCCCCATACCATGCACTTCCCCAAGCCCCCTCACCTTCTAAGCCCCCCTACCCTGTGCACCTCCCTGAGACCCCCCGCCTTCCTGAGACCCCCTACGCCGTGCACCTTCCCAAGATCCCTGCCCACCTTCCCGAAACTCACTCCCCTCCCGGAGACGGCCCCACCTCCCCAAGACCCCCTGCCTTCCCGAGACGCCCTGCTCTGTACACCTTTACGAGACCTCCTCATCCCCGAGGGACGCCCTGCGTCGGGCCCCTCCCTCACCTATCCGGACACCCTTTGCCTCCCCAAGGTCCCCGCACATCCTGAGAGCCGCCCACCTCCGAGACCTCCTCGCCTCCCCGACACCCCCTCACCCATGCCAGCACGCTTGCCTCCCGAGTGCCCCCACACCGTGCAGGTCCTCGGGACCCCCTTGCCTCTCCTGGGACCCCCTGGCCTCCCGAGTCCCCCCTCACCGCTGCGAGAGCCCCGCCTGCCGGAGATCCGGACCTCGGCGCCCCCGCAAGATCCCTCACCTTCCTGACAGCCTCG